GGGGGGGGGGGCGGGGGGAACCCCGAGACTAAACACTGACCCAGCTCAGTGCCCTCCACAAACGCAGACCCAGAGTCACCAAAGCAACTTCTGGGGACGGGAAAGAAGGAGGCCCTGGTTCTGCTGTGAACGTGGACTTGGACCGTGGCTCCTCCCTCCCCCAGGGGTGGGCAGGGGGGTGTCCTGCGAGCCTAAGTGCAGAAGGCCAGGGGGAGCCTGGAGATGCAGGGAGACGGGGGTGGAGCGGGACACCCGAGCGTTGCTGAGGCCACGGGTCAGCGCCCTGGTGCGCGCAGGGACTCTGTGGCTCAGCCCGGTGACCCTCTGAGCACGTCCCTTTGCTCACACGTGACTCTCCTGTCACCCCACAAGAAGAACGAGCTGGAGTAGTCCTCACGTGCAAAATCCTTTCTTGCTCAAGTGCGGACAGAAACCTGTTGTGGGTGCACGTGTGCTCACGTGTGCTCACGTGTGCCATGCGTGTGTTGTGGGTGCACGTGTGCACACGCATGGCACACCTGAGCACACGTGTCTGGTCACACGTTACTGATCGCCGTCCTGGGCCACTCAGCTCCCTTCTGCCTCCGGCTGCCTGGCTCACTGTGTGACTGAGGGCTGGCCGCTTAGCCTCTCTGGGCAGTGCCCGCAGGCGGCCGCAGCTCTGTCTGCCTGAGGGCCTGCCCGGTGTCTCCTGTCTGGAAGGCTGTTCACCCGGGACATGCACATCAGGGTGGGGGCAGCCTAGCCGTGCCCGGCCTGGCCCTCAGCCAGCGACTCTGTGCCCCCAGAACAATGTCCTGACTGCCATCCTGCTGCTGCTGCGGGAGCTGGACGCCGAGGGGCTGGAGGCCGTGCACCAGACCGTGGTCAGCCGGCTCCAGGCTCTGCACAAGCAGGAGCCACAAGAGGACGTGGAATGACGGTCAGCCGGGACCCGAGCCGCCAGGCCTTCCTCCCAGGACCCTGTGCCCCCATCTGGGAGGTGTGGGGTCCACAGCCACGGCCTCCACTGCATCCTGAGTGTCCGCATGCGGGCTGTGTCCCCAGAAGCTCAGCCCCGCCTGGGAAGGCCACGCCCCAGGTGTAGAAGGCGGGAAGGGCGCCGGGCACTGCGCCGGGCACACTCCGCCATGCGGGGCCCAGGCGTGTGCCGCCTGCCTCGCCTCGCCTCGCCTCACCTCACCTCTTCTCAGGTGGCGTTGCAGCCACTGTCCCTAATAAACATCTTCCCCAAGTCCAGTCTGGAAGCAGACGTTTCCTAGGAGACGGACGTAGCCTTGACGTTGTTTTGAAGCTAAGGGTCACGTGCACGTGCATTTCCCCTGTCGGCTCTCCCACCGGGTAGATTCCGCCCAGGATGGTGCCGTCCTCGAAGCAGCAGCGGCTCCGGGCTCCGCCTCAGCCTCGGCAGACCCACGCGGCCGTGCCCACCGCTGCCCACGTGTTTGGCAGGGTGCAGGGGTCTTGTATGCCATGCGGTGGGGAGGCCGGGGGTGGGCAGGCCCGCGCTCCTGTCTGGAGACTCAGGTACAGCCGTAGGACAGCCAGCGGGGCCAGGGAGGATGCCTGGAAACCCCATCTAAAACGTGTTCTCCCGTGGGCAGAGCCACAGGCCTTGCCGTGGTGCACAGGCCCCGAGTGGTAGTGTTGCAATCCGGGGCCCTTCCTCCTGCCCCCCAGCAGTTCCGGGGGCCGGGAAGGAGCGTGGCCTCTGAGCCATTAGTCTTACTGGTGCTGAAATGGCGGGACCGGAGAGGGGGGTTCCCTCCGCCTTGGCTCCCGTTAGTGTCTGTGTCGCCGTGCAAGCGAAGGGGTGGGACTTCACCCACTGTGTGCGAGAACCCAGATGGGGTGACTGCCGGGGAGACCGTGGCAGGCCGCGCTCGCACTGGCCCGGCCACACCGGGCGGGTGGTGGATATCGGGTGTCGTGGCTCCTCGGGACCTGGGGGGCGGAAGCAAGGGGTCGCCACGTGGGGGTATCCGGAAGGGTGGCCGCAGGGTCCGCGCATGCCTTCTGTTGTACATCTGGATGGTTGTCACACTCAATAAAGCATTGTCTTTTTTAGAGCCAGTTGGGGTGGTCCTGTTAAATCCGGAACATCTTCCCTTTCCTCGCCCACCAGGCAGCTCACACCAGCTTCCCGCCTGCCCACGACCTCGGTTAGTGACCTTGAATCCGCCCCACCAGGCAGCTCCGAAGGGCCTGAAGTCCGTTGGTCCCGGTTGACATCTGTCCCAGCTGTCCTTGAGCCAAGGACCCAGCTAGGCCGTGCCCGCACCCCTGAGCCTCTGTGAGTCACAAACTGGGGTGTTGAAGCCTCTGTGTTTGTGGCTGGAAACCCCCCCCCAGGCTGGAAACCAACACCGTCTCCTTGGCGGGGGGGTGGGGGGGCAGAAGTCCTGAGCGAACTCCAGCCCACAGCTGAGCCCTGCTGCCTGCCCACAGCCCCTTCCCAGGCACGGCCCACCGCCCGCTCGCCACGACCTTCCTGCGGTGCCCGCCCCACCCACCCCTGTGCACGGCAGGACCCACAGGAGGGATCCGCCGTGGGCTCCCTCCCAGCCATGTGCGTGTCTGGCTTAACCAGAGGCAGACTTGTCAGGGCCTTGGCTGTGCGCTCCCCAGGAGTCTCTCGCCTGCCCTGGGTGGGGCCTCCCACGGCGGCAAGCCCCTGGCCCTGGGTGCAGAGGGCACATTTGTTAGCGCACTGTGGCCAGGCCACACACCCCCTGCTGGCATCTTCAGGGGAACGTGGGATCTGCACCTGACACCTTGTCATGCTGGCCTCACGCGTGGCGTCCTCGAAGCTGAGCCGGAGGGCAGAGCCTGGCGGGTCTGGGTTTTGAAGCCTGCCCTCCAACATGGGATGGCCCCAGGACACCCAGGCCTGGGGGGGCTTCCTCAAGGACAGGGAGTCCCCCTGTGCTTCGGGAGCTGGGGCCCGGCTGCCAGGAGGGGCCGACGGGACAGCAGGGGCCGGGCCGCAGTCACGGCCTGTGCGGCAACCCCCAGAAGAACGTGTCTCCAGACACTGCACGTTCAAGAAAAAGTAGCAAGAACATCCTGGAAAGTTGGGCTCCCAAGCCTCTCTGGCTCCCTCCCCCCAGCCGGGCACTGGGTGCACTGGGAGGCCTCACTGGCACTTGGAGGCCGGGAGGTGGGGGGTGGGGGGTGCGGCTGGCAAGGGAGAGGTCAGCAGGGAGCAGAGCCTGGGCCAGTGTGGCGTCTGGGCTGGGTGTGGCCATGGGACAGACTGGACTCGCGGCCGTACCCTGGAGGGTGTCTGCCACAGCCAGGGTCTCCCCCAGGAGTCCCCACCCCACACCTAAGTACACCCGCGTGCACTCACACGCACAGACATCCACGCACGTGCACACGCACACACATAGGCATTCACATGCAGGCATACTCAGGTTTCCGGGACCCAGGAATTTGTCCCTGGTCTCTCGAGACAGGGGTTTAAACACTTGGGACCCGTTCCTTGGCCTGCCCCAGGACCACCCAATCTCGTAGCAGGCAGAGCAGACCAGAGGGACCCCAGCTCCAGCAATGGGCACCTGGGAGCCCTCAGGCTCTGGGGCCCGCACGGTGAGGAGGGCGTGGTCCCCCGGCAGGGGCCCCAACCACGCCTGCCGCTCCCCGGGGAGCGACCACACGCACCCTGCCGAGGTCAGGAGGTGCAGGCAGCCGGAGGGACAGCGGGCCCCAGCAGGGGCCCTAGCCCTGGATGTGGCCCGTGAGCTCCAAAGGCCAGGGGCTCCCCAAAAAACCCCGTGGGTCCCAGGCCCTCCTCTTGAGCCTCGGCAGGTGCTGAGAGCAGGTGCCCAGGCAACCACAGTGGGACCAGAAGTGCGCTGTGCGGTGACCTCAGGAGGAACGGGGCGGGGGTGGGGGGGTGCCCAGAAGTTCAGGTGGTGTCACTGAGGTTCAGCTTCTCCTCCCGAGACCCCGGTGCCGCGTCATGCTGCAGAGCAAGCCTCTGTGCCACCCCCAGAACCTGTGCTGGATGGATCAGCGGGTGACGTTTCTGCCTCCCTCGTCGCCCACCTCCACCAGTGTCTCCGCGGATACTCCCTCGCTCAGATCAGCCGCTTGCCCCTGGGTCTCTGGCTCTGTTGCCGAGACCCCAGCCCGGGCAGCCTGGGGACCGTTCCAGGTCAGACCCAGGGCTCAGAGCCAGGCTCAGAAATGCTCCCAAGCCTGGGGGAGGCCAGGCCCTCCTGTGTGTGCAGGTCGGGGGCCACCACCACCTGCCCACTGCCACCCCCCCCC